GGCAGATAGGTAGGTAGACCGACATCGGATAGATGTATAAATAAACATACAGGTATCTGTAGACAGATAAACAGACAGACTAGCAGATTAACATTGACTCATCCAAAATTCTCCCATGTCTGCATTTCTTTTCTTTTTTTTTTTTCCGTTTCCCCCCGATCACAAATTGGCCTCGTATATCACTCTCTCTCTCTAACCGATTAAACACACATGGAGCAGGCCGGCTTGAAACCCAGTACTGGAGCTGCAGAAGATGATTAATAACAAAGTGCTGAATACAACACAACATCTGACTGGAAAGCACAGTGGAATGAATGGGCAAGACGAGCACAAATATAACCGAGCGTTTCCACCAAAGACTTTAAGCAATGTAGACTGGCTGGAAAACTACTGCCAAGACAACAGGGGGGAGAAATAGAAAAAGAAGAAATTAAGACGACGACGCCGATGATAAAAAGAAAAAAAAGAAGAAGAAGAAAAAGAAGAAGAAAAGGAAGAAGAGGAGGAGGAGAAAGAAGAAGAAGAAGAAGAAGAAGAAGAAGAAGAAGAAGAAGAAGAAGAAGAAGAAGAAGAAGAAGAAGAAGAAGAAGAAGAAGAAGAAGAAGAAGAAAAAGAAAAAGAAGAAGAAGAAGAAGAAGCATCAGCAGCAGCAGCTTGGAATTTACTCACACACACACACACAAAAAAAAAGAATAACTACGTTCAACCAAGTAGACGCATTAACTAAACTTAGTTCCTATTGTGGGTTCCAATGAAGCTGTAGATCCCAGCTGCCAGCGGTTCGGCAACAGACCACTTAGCTTTGAGGCGGCGTCAAGAAGCATTGGTACACTAGTTAGTTTACAGGACGTTGCAGAACCAACACCAGCATTGTTTGGCTGTTGTGGTTTTCTTAGGAAAGTTTACGTCCAGTAGCTTGCCATTGCTTTCTGGACGGTCATACCACTGTCGAAACCAACGCAAGGCGCAAGGCATGCAGCTGGGATCGAACACGGCACCCCTGCATTAAAAAGCGCGTTCGTAACGCCTATGCCACAGACGCCGACAAAATTGATACACTACTGAACGTTAAATGTGCTTTATGAAATCACAAACTGTAACAAAAACAAAAAAACGCAATTATTTGTACAACGTCATGTAAAGCATACGCAACTAATATTTTTGTTCTTTATTAATATCTCACCACCGGTGACGTCACAGGACAGTCCTACATTTTAGAGGGTGGTGAGACTGGGTTTTTCCCATAACATATAGAACTGGCCCTTTTTCCGACCCGCCCAAGTCCCATAAAGAGAGTGCAGCTTAGGTCCCACGAATGCATGCAGCCTAGGTCACACGACAACATGCAGCCTATCTACCACCCCCTGAAATATTAGACTGTCCCGTGACCTCAGGATTTTCCATGTTTAGGTTAGGATATTAATAGAGCGCCATATTTTTTTCCTTCTAAAAAAAAGTAGGCGTTTTTTTTTTTTTACGGATAGGGTACAAACATTTAGACCTGCATTGTTGTAGACCAGTGTCTGTCAACCTTTGTAATGCCGCGACCCTTTAATACAGTTCCCTCATGTTGTGGCGACCCCCCAGACAATTATTTTCTTTCATAACTTCATTGACTTTGTGTTTTCTGATGGTCTTATGCGACCCCTGTGAAAGGATCACTCGACAAAAAGAAGGATCGAGATAGGCAGGTTGAAAACCGCTGTTTTAGACTATTGTACCTTAGAATTCATTGGACAGCCATAAAAACAGCAACCCAGATGTTTTGAAAAAGGCGAGTACTCAAAATCAACTTATTACAAACATCAGAAAGAGACATACAATAGTTGTGGTCATATTATGAGAGGAAGGACACTGAAACATGCCGTGACCACTTAAAAGTTTTGTAAAAAAGGAAGGGGTGGGGGGGGGGGGGTAGAGAGAGAGAGAGAGAGAGAGAGAGAGAGAGAGAGAGAGAGAGAGAGAGAGAGAGAGAGAGAGAGAGAGGGAGGGAGAAAGTTCAACAAGATTCTTGTCAGTCTTTGTCATGGCATAGGAAAAAAGGTTGGTGGGACTGGAAATGGGGGGGGGGGGGGGGTCAGCATATGTACTGATACATTCTATTGTAAACAGGTATGTATCACCCACTCCGGTCGGCTAGGTACTTGATGATGATTGGTTAATGTAGAAAACAGCGCACCGGCTCCCTTTTCTTTTCAGTACCTTACATGGTATCCATTATAGGCTAACTCGATCTTCCAGCCAGGC